ATACAGTAGAACCTCGATTATCCGCCCTAATTGGGGACTGGGGTTGGTCGGATAATTGAAAAGTCGGATAACCGAAAAGTATGAAAAAATCCATTATTAGTGTAGTATATTATTATATCCCATGTAATTAGTATATTAGTATATCGCTATTAACCTATTTCGCGTTGAATTTTCATCGATGTTAAGCCTAACAAAAATTTTTTAAAATAATAATCGTCGCTATTGTATCGGTAAAAATTAGTAAATTAAGCCTCGTTTAAATACTGGCTCCCTTTCATGGTCGAGCCTGTTGCCAGCTAAAACACGTAAAAATAATATTAAAGTAGCCAAGACATAGCCAAATATTGTAGCGACATTTGCTTGCCGACATCACTTGCAGACATTTGAATTTGCCGACCAGAACACGGTCGGTTAACCGATGTGACGGTTGATCGGGGTCGGATAATCGATGCTCTACTGTATTTTGCATAAAACTGTAAAAATGATCGACGATGCAAGAGACGTTTGTTGGAAATAAAGTGGCGCCTTTAAAACGTTTAGCAACTTCATTTCAAGTTTATTTTTCCTTCTCGGAAATGTTTCTATTTTTCTTTCGAAGAATGTCGATTCGGCGAGTTTCGGGTGCTCGTTCGAGGATTTTGTGTACGAGAGCCAAACTCATTTTGCTTCATCCACAAAGACGACGTACAGAATGGATCCTCAATAAAGCCGAAACTTCTCTCCGTACAAACTCGGCGGGACCTTCTAATAAATACTAACCTAACTGTAACCATGAATTCGACAAAAGTCCGAGTTTGATTTTTATTGCGAACGAGAAAATCTATACTTCCTTTTTATTATTTATCAAACCAAATAACAGAAAAAAAGAAAGAAAAAAAAAACGACCTATAAAATTTACGTTATTATTTTAATTTAAAAAAGTAAATTAAATATTATATTTACAATTTCAGAACTCTAGCGAAAAACAATAATAATAAAATTCTGTAAAATTCCCATTTATGTCGATAGCCCTCTGGCGTTAAAGTAACAAAAAAAAAGTCACGTGATTTTTCCAAGTATCGTCTGGCGGAAGTAGTGATTAGAATATTCGTCCTAGTTAAATTTACGTTCGAAGCGTTTTTCTTCGCTTCGATTACAAAATGCTTACTTTAATGAGAAAGAGTATTCCTGTCATTGCGTGTAATTCGACGAGATACAGTAAGTATTAGGCGAATATTAAAGTAAATAAGTTATCAACTTAAGACGGGGAGAAACTTAAATAAAAAAGTTCAATGAAAGCAAAATAAATAGGTTAAGTGGCAGCCAACTACACCAACAGTTAATTAGGATTAATATACAGATTTTAATGTTAATTAACGATTGTGAATGAAGTTATCTGTTGTCGATAATCTAAAATGGAGTGAATTATGCCAGGAATCTCTCTCCGTTTATTAGATAAAGTCTTATTTAAGTGCATTGACCAATCAAAATGCGTTATGCAATTTTCTTTTTTATGTATTTTCAACCTAATTTCTCCTTTTATGATTTATTAAATTACTAGAAGGATTATGGAACATTGTTTTTACTTTATCTATTAGCCTTTAATCCCTTATTTTTATATATTACAATATACTTTCTACAAATATATAGTGTGTAATTTTGTTGAAGGGCCTCCTAAAATGCATTTCAGTCCCTAGTGTTAATAACCCTCACTGGGGGGACCAAAATTCATTTTAGGAGGTATGTAAGGCAGTAAACATTTCAATTGTGCGATAACTTTTCAATAAAATTGTATTACGTATATGTAGAAAGTGTGTTGTTTTTACCATTTTTATTTGTTTGATATCACTCAAATAACAAATCTTTTACATGATATTACGACAAAAGGTACAATTAGACCGGTGAACGAGACTGTTGAGACTACCATAGCTGTAGACTGGTGTTTGCATCTTACCTGACAAAATATCTGAAAACATTAAACACTTTCCTGTTTTGTTTTTTCCTTGTTTTATACGGGTCGATTTGGTGTGTCTAATTACGTCTGTCTGTCCTTTAATCTAAGGCTAACAGTTTTTCAGCTGGAGATCTTTTGCTTCGGTCCGACTGCTGGTTTTGTTTTCCAGGTTTGAAATCTTTCTTGAGATTTTTCATATTTTAAAATGTTTTGACTTGTATTCTCGCGCTTTAGATAACAAATATGGTAATTGAGGTTTATTGTGACTGCGGGAAAAAATCTCTGGACGATGTTTTGAGATGGCTAATCGTGAACACATTTATTTATGGTATATAAAAGTGATTTTAAAAAATTATCTGTGGATGATTTTAAAATTATGGTAAGTTCTTGTTTTAATGGAAAAAAACTTTCTAGTCTAAAGAAAAATTTTAGAACCTTGTTTTTTTTAATGTACAAATACAGTTTGCTGAAAGGTTAAAGGGTTGTTATAAAATCTGTACTGTAACCAGATCTGTAACTGTATCCATATAGTGTGATTATGAACTCTATCATATCTGTATGCTCTTTTCAAAGTGTTTAATACAAAACAAAAGAAAACCATAAAGAAAAATAAGGAAATTAAAGAGATAAATCAAAAATGTTCTTTTAAGCTTCTTTTGAATAATCTGTAATTACTTAATTAATTAATTAACTTTCTTTTCACTATCCAAACACCATTCCAAAACTGTATCAATTAAAATAAAGGTGCTGTTCTCATATTTATATCAAGAGTGTGCATGTGCATGGAGGACTGCTCATACATCAAAAAAAGTTTGATTTGTTACAGATATTATTTTATAACTACTTGTCATAGATACCAGCGTTCCAAACACTTATGGATATAGTTATGGTACAGAGTTTATAACCCAGTCCTAAGTGAGTCGAATATAAATTACTTAATGTGATGGCTGGATTGCTGAGCAGTTATGGTGGCAGCCTACCACTTTGGGAAACCTGGGATTAAATTTGGACGGGTCAAAAAACTCAAGGAGTTTTTTGGGGGGTGGTCTGTTCAGATGTGTCAGGCCTTATCCCTCGCCAGCTGGCTGCACTATTGTGAGCTTGGTTGATCTGTAATGGACTTGATAAAAAAGGCTCTCTTAGTGCCCACAGGTTAGAGTTTAAAAAATTATGTATTTTTGAAATGCCAAAATCCATTAAATTGAATGTAATAGTGGACACTCCCTTTTTCCCTATTAGTCCATTAAATCTTGAAAGTTTGCTATTCTTTCTTTATATTATAGAATACACATTTATTATGTAATTATAATATATATGGAATATATTCATATATTGTAATAAATTTAACTTGAATAATTTTATTAATTGGAGTTTGTTCTTTTTTTTTTGATTTATGTGTTTACTAAAATATGTAATAACAAATTAAAAGTTCTTGCTATTGAAGATATTTATGTTTTAGAAAGATCTAATGTTTTTCTTTTGCATATATATTTGATTTTGTGCTGCTGATTTGCAAGATTAAACTAATTAGCTGCAAGTGTTGTTTTTTTTCTTAAGTATATAATGACTTTTAAGTCTGTTAGTCAATAGAATTATCATATTTGTGACGTGGAGATAATACAGATTATTGTAGTGGACTTTACACTTTGTACTTAACACTGGTGATTAATTTAATGATGATTAGTTATCAAATAAAATAATGCAGACAGAAAGGCAAAGAAGTCACTAAACAAAAATAATAGGCTACATAAAAATTTACTAATACAAATGTGAAAGAACTTTGGGATGATGACTTTTGACTTTCAGTTTGGAGCTTTGTTATGGATAAACTAATGATGACTTTTTTGAATTAGTTTTTATATTAAAATTTATGTAATTATTGTTTTTAATTAAATATATTTTCCCTGATTTTCAAGAGGATCTTATAATTATTTGAAACTGATGATGTCACAATGATTTTAATGTCAATCCCAATAGAACTTTTTTCTGTTGTCTTAATAACAAAGTTATATACCAGGGGTGGGCAAGCAAGATTTCAGTGGGAGCCGAAATGTAGGGTTTGCAAAATGCATGGGTGCCGCAGTTCTGTACTTTTTTATTCTGTATCACTGTTCTGTACTGTGATTTTATTATATAATATAAAACAAATATTGAATTTTTTTAATAAACATATTTTCACAAAATTGTGGAAATAAAATTGTAAAAATAATAATAAAAAGCAGAAATTCACACTTTCAGCAAGAGCTGCATATAACTCAAAAAAGAGCCGCATTTGCCCACGTTCTGTTATATACCTTTGATTTCACAGAAACAATTTTAGCAAATTGAAAACCTTTAATATTGTGTTAAATACAGTAGAGCGTCGATTTTCTGAAAGTCAATCATCCGAAAGAATTCCAGTCGGCAAATTTAAATTTTTGCCAGTGCTGTGTCGCTTCAATCTTTGGCTATGTCTTGGGTTACTCAAATATTTTACGTTTTTGATACTAAATTAACATCTGAAGTATAATTTTTTATTGTTTTTATATTTTTCAATATATTTATTTTGTTTGTACAAAATAAAAAAAATAATTTTTAACGATACAATAGTCTTTGTTAGGCTTAACATCGACAAAAATTCAACGCGAAGCGACATGCAATGGAGAAAAATTTCAACATTGGATACGTTAAACTATTTTTTCGTACATAAATCGGTTATCCGAAATATCAGTTATACGAACAACCCCGTCCCCAATTGATTCAGAAAATCGCCGCTCTACTGTATTAAATTTATATGATTTTAAAGTTTATTGCCATCTAAGTTTCTATTATTTGTACTATTTTGCTATTTGTATTAAGATTCAGAATGTATTGAAGATAATTTTAAAATGATGTTTAAATAATTGTGTATATCAACAGCCCGAAGCCCAACGTATTGATACTAATCCAAACTTTCACATCATTAATTAATTGGCCTGTTATTATGCTATAATAATTAGAAACTAAGTAATTTGGTACTAGATTTAGCTGTTAGGCTCTCTTATCTAAATTAATAATGATAATAATTTATTAAATAATTAGTACATTCTGGAAGAAAAGAACTAGACTGGAGCGGGACTTGAATTCACAACCTTTGCTTACCTGCCTATGGGGCACTTGCTAGTTATGCCATCTTGACTTTGAGCAAGTCTTCGCTTCCAGAAATATTTAAATTTATGATTAATTACAGCGAGAATTTGGATTAGTAAATAATTGTGTGAAAACAGTCTTTAATTAAAACATGTATCACATGTAATTATATTTTTTACAAAATCATGTTAACATTAAAAAAATATATATGTGAACTTTATTGCTTAGTCATGATTTATTTGCCAAAGTGAATGTTGTCAAAATTCAAATTTTTAAAAGTCAAATATTTGGGTATTGTACAACAGGTG